AGACGACCGCCCCTCAGCACCTGTTGCTAAAAGGTTTTAATGGGACTGGAACACGAGTGGACATCTCAGAACGCAGCTGGCCGGCCGCACAAAGGTCAACCAAGCGTCGAGGCTAACAGCCTGTGAACGGATTCAGGTGGCTGATTGGGATATGCTCAAACAATAGTTTTGAAAACTTTGAATGGACACGGATTTCCATGCATGAAGTAGCCACAGACTGAACAAATTTTAAGTGGTGGGAAATTAGATAAAGAATTAAAAAGCTGGCAAATAACTGAACTCATGGTGGTGGCATATATCGTCATTGTGAAGGCTGTCGACATGCTCATGGTCTTGCGTATGAATATGTGGTATATGCTGACCCTCCGCAGGGCAGCATCATGAATAAGTCTAGCACCCGGAGCTGGTCGTCACGGCTGAAGCTGACGATCAGTTCATCGGAACCTGCTATGTACAGCGGGCCAGGAAGCAGCGCCAAAGGAAATGTTTAACATTAAATTTGAGGCCCACGTGAGGCAAAGCTTGTTACCCGTTTTAACGTGGCGTGAGTTATTTTGACTCTTCTTCCATTTCTCAGATACGGAGAGAAAGGAGAAAAAGCGGTAAGGACGCCGAAATTTAAGGCCCTGGTATTGAGTTGCCTCCCGATTTCAGCCTTTTAAGCCTTTGACATATTTGAAAAATGCACATGCATCCTGCAGTCGATAACATAGAAGTGTAACACCCAACAGCGGTAGCCTCCCCTACAGCAGTTTAAACCCTCGTGGCCCTATCGAGTCTTCTCGGTTTCATGGTAAAGGCCGCTGGGTAAGGTTTTTAAAAACGTACCTACTTTGCGTTTCATGGTTCGCATGAGTTTCGGTACGCATTACCCTCAGCCTTGATACGCCGTTGATGCCCCCCTAAGTTTTTTGAGAATACTTCTCCAGTACGTCGTGCAATTGCATCCAACCTTGTATTAGCTTATGGGGGATCCATCATGTGCGTTTCAACACCAAAAGCGCGTTCCTCGCTTTTCAGGTTTCGAAGCAGCGGCGGTTTTTGAGGAACATTGCACGGTGATGTACGGCCGGCGCGGGCGGCGGGCGGTTATTGACGGTGCCGCGGAACGCGGGCGGCGGGCCGACATTGTTACATTGCCGGGGCCATGTACCATACGCATATGCTCAAATCACACACAAATCTACAACATTGCACTTTTGCACCATTGCAAAAAACACAAATGCTTGGTGTGTTTTCCTTAGCTTCATCTTCGTTTAACTTAATCGATGTCGCCATTAACTTGGCGCCATTAACTTGGCGCCATTAACTTGTCGCCTAACCCCACTCGCTCCGCTCCACAGGAGAAACACGGCATGGGGGCGGTGGGCCGGGGGTGGCGTCCCAACCGATGCCGCCGGCATTGGGTTGGGCGCGTATACAATCGGTCGGTTCCGGGGCCGGTGGCCGGGCCGGCAGGCGCCAGTCGACGGTCGGACGGGCGCCGGTCGGGAGCGCAGCCGGCAGTCTCTGCAGCCGCCGCGCCGCATGTGACTGTGAGTTCTCCGTGACGCTCAACACCGCAGGCGTGACGTGACGCACGTGACGGTGGGGCGCCACAGCATGAGCGTGCCGTGGGACGCGCCGGCTTGATGCGATACAGCACCAGGGCCCGACGCGCCGGAGATCAGACGGGCTCGGGCGGCGCCAGACCGCTGCAGCAGGTCACCATCCCCATGGCCGCTTGCGCCGCTCGCCGCCTCATCGCAGTTTGGCTTCGGGCAGCCACAGGTGAGACGGAGCGGTGACGACGGTCGGCGGCTGACTCCGTCCAGACTGCGTCGCACCGCCCGCAGGCCTGCGTGGGTTTGGGCATGAGTCCATGACAACCGGCGCGGAGCGGTGACGACGGTCCGCGGCTGACTCCGTCCAGACTGCGTCGCGCCGCCCGCAGGCCTGCGTGGGTTTGGGCATGAGTCCATGACAACCGGCGCGTATTAACGCCGGCACCTGGTGCCGCCATTCCAAACAGCACATGTTGAGGGCAGACGACCGTTTCTGTCAGGGCTACTAATACAGCTTTGTGACGGCTTGTAGCCAGCAGAGGAAGAGTGTCCTTGCAGTCACAATAAAGTTAAGGATCTGCCAGAGTTGAGCGTACTGCACTGTGAGGTGGTCGTCCCTTAGTGGGCTGCACACATTTACTCCGATATATTTAACTACGAACTTTAACGAATTGATCTGATGTCATGGACATTACTCCTACTTCTCAACGATCAACAATCAACATCGTCTCAGGCTTTGCATGCGGTCTCTTTTTCCGCTGCTTGCGATGCTTGGATTTTCTCATGAGCCCGCGATGCATGTGGTTGTGTGAAGGCTGGTTGTCTCGTCGTTAAAGGAGCATCCCATCTCTGCGTACTTCTGCGACAGATTTCCGCTTCGTACGCTATGATTTCGTATGGCAGCCTTCCTTTTGATTGCGTTGGTGATTGATACGACCGGTGCTCTTTCCCGGCTCCAGCGCTGCGCATTCATATTAAATGGAGGGCGAAAATCCCCCCAGTGTCATGCATTCCCCCATACCCAGTGGAATGGACAACCCTGACCTAGTTAAGGGGAGTATCCCACCAGTTTGTGCTTTTAATTTTTTGTTAAATCAGACGTGAACGATTCGATCAGTAATACTGCAGGAGAAATCCCACTTGACTCAACGCTTACCATTATGAAAGTGATGTATTTCACTCGCTTTGCCTTTCTAACGCGTGTGTTCTGTGCCGTTTGCAACACACTATGTGTCAACATGCAGTGTGCTGAATGCTACGTAAGCCTGAAGCTTTCTGTTCAAATAGCAGGATATGCCAACATGAGGGTGCTATCTTGCGAATTCAACGAAACGTTATACGATGGCTTTGATTTCTCTCCGATGGCTTTTACCATGGCGGCTCTTTTCGAGGCGCACTTTGGACTTGGATTTCTTAAACACAAACCGCAACAAAAATAAGCATCTCTGGAATTCCAGGCGACCAAGAACAGTTGTAAGTGAAAGTGAAGGGCCTATGGGAAGTTGTAAAAAAGTAATGTGATGATTGGAAAAGTTGCGAACTGGAAGTTTTATGACTCATTACACCGTCTATGGCCCCATGCCGTTTCCGGGGGCCTATGCGCCCACTTGCAGGATTAATTTGATCGTTGGGGAGCATTCCACGCTGCTCTTTATTTCTTTGCACTTGCTCCAAGTGCAAGGGGCCCTTTACGTGGGTCTCGGTTAACCTACCGACATACTTGCAATATGCTCATGAGCCCTCCACATTGGTCTATGGCGTTTCAAATTATCTGTCACTTGCTTTCTTAAGGTCCTACACTCTCGTCGGGGGCCCATCTGATGGCCTGCTTGGACACACTCAGTCGTTTGGGGACCCTCCACACTGGGCCTTGGGTGCTTCTTTTCTGAATAGGGGCCCTACGCTCTTGTAGAGGCCTATCTCATAGCCTACTCTGGCACATTTGATCGTTCGGGGCCCCTGCATTTAGCCTTGGGCACGTGCTATTTGAATGGGGCCCTACGCACTTGTCAGGGGCCTCCTTCTGTTCACCTCCTCGGCAATACTGGATTGCTCGGGGAGAGGGGCTGCACATTTGTTCTTGGTGTTTGAAATTAGGGTCTTCTGCTCCTACCGGGGTCAGCTGGTGACCGGTTCGGATACACTCCATCTTTCGGGGGCCCTCCGCATCGGGTTTTGGGTGTTTCTTATTTGAATCGAGGGCCTTACGCTCCTGTTGGGCCCCTTGTTATAAGAGTCTCGGGCCCATTCGATTGTGGGGAACTTCTACACCTGATTTTGGATACTTTATTTTTGAATGGAAAGCCCCGCTTTTTTCTGGGACTCTATCTATCAACACGGTCTGGGGCACTCGATTATTCGAGGCCCTCTGCATCGCGTCGTGTGCATTTTATATTTGAGCGGCAGGCCCTACGCTCTTGCCGGGTCCCCATCTGCTAACCTGCTCGGGCCCACTGGAATATCCGAGGGCCCTCCACATTGTGCCTTGGGTACTTCCCATCTCAATGGAGGGCCCTATGCAACTGTCGGGATCCCGTCTGTTCACCTCTTCGGCCACACTGGATTGTTCTGGGGCCCTATATATTGGGTATTATATACATATGTCCTATATATACATATGTCCACTTGCCGGGTCAATCTTATCGCTAAGGAGCCTTCCACGGTGCCCTTGATCTCTTTGCATTTTTCATAGGGCCCAACGTGCTGCTGGGACGCTATCTGCCTCCATGCCTGAGCATTGTTCATCGATGAGGTTTTTCCTCCACGGATTCTTCCCATTCGCCCGAAAGGCCCTATACACTTTTTATGGAGGCCCCATATCCGGGCAGACTCAGTTGCTCAGGGACCCTTCATAAAAGTATCGGGTTCTTTCTACTTGCTTGGAGGACATTGTGCTGCTGCTAAGGTTTATATACGGTAAGGCACGGAGACACTCGATGCTCAGGGGCCCTTTTCTTTGATCGAGGGCTCCCTCGCTTTGGTCTCATTTGCGGAGGACTCTTCACTCCTATCGAGGCTTATGTTGTTAAGCAGCCCGTGCACTCTTGATCGCACAGGGGCATTACTGTATGGTCTTGGATAATTCCCATTTGCTCAAAGGGTTCTGTGCTATGGCTAGGGCCTATATGTCACCCTGCCAAGGCACTGCCGATCGTTTAGGGGCCCACCACGTTGGTCTTGGGTTCTTTTTGCTTGCTCTGAGGATCTTGTACTTACTGACGAAAGTCACTTTGTTGGCTTACTGCGGCACCCATGATCGCTCATTTTCGGTCCCTACTGGCCTTAGTGCTTTTGTCTTAGAACAGCAGTCGAATATGCACTGATGAATTTTTACGCGCAATTGCCGAACGTGATTTTACGTGCCGCCGGCGTCGTATGTGTCAGTTCCATTGGCTATTGAGTGTGTTACACTCACTATACTAGTGCGTCACGTTCTTAACACATTTTGGATGCTAGGATATGTTGTACTCCTCTATAAGAAAGGAAAAATTATGCCTTAGTCGTCAGCCATCAGCTGATTACCTCGCACAGCCGGTTGGTCGTAAGCACATAAGCTAGTCGATGCTTGGTTTGATAGTTGTTGGCAACCAACTCAAGTTTATTTGTTGGGGCCTGTTGGAACCTGTTGTTCCGAAACACTTAGCCTCAAAATCACAGCATTTAAAATGACCTGTAGAAAATGAGTGGATTTAAGTGTACGCATGCGTAGCACGCTTAGCTTTATAAGGCTGTATACAGTACGATGGGTTGCCGTATTTATTAGATAAATGAACAAGTCAATGCATATATATATATATATATATATATATATATATATATATATATATATATTGCGTACGACTTGCATTAAAACCTTATGTCCGAAATGCAACGATATTTTTCGGAGGGGGCCCAAAACTCCAGGGGTCCCACAATGTTGTGTGTCGCCCCTTGACGAAATCCTGGATCCGCCCGGAAGGTGATATGTCCCCGGCCTTTTTGCGGGTCGTATGTCCCCTTGGAAGCGGCAGAGGCCTCTCTAGGGCTGCAGGACCAGGTATTTTTACGCAGTTTAAGCACCCGAAGGCCTCCAAAATATGAAAACATCAGCCTTAAAACATAAGACATAAAATCAGTACGCGGACTACGTCGTGGTCCGTTAAAGGCCAGAGCACGCACGATCTAAGCAGCCTGTGTCTTCCTCGTTCCTCGTGCCAACCACAATTGTCTCACAGTATGACGTCGTTGTTGCAGGTCGAGGGATGTGTCGAAATGGCTCAGCGAAAACACTGGTGGTCGTCCTCGCCCTGGTGAACGCATGGCTTATCGTTACCCTTTATCATGGGATGAAGCACGGTAAGAGTGAATGTAACGACACGAGCGCATCGATAGGGGACGAGAATCAGTGCCCAAAGCGGAAGTTGGGGAACTGGCTAAGCAACCCGCTTTTAATGGAAACGAGGTTTCAATCAAATTCTATTTCACGTTAGTGTTGGCTTTGTTGCAGACATGGTACGCCTAGTACCACGTACGCCCTATCAGTGCTGTAGGAGCTATAGGCCCCTACCACATATCCCTATATGCAACTTCTAAATTAAGGTCGTCTGTGACGTCGCCTAATTCAGTAAATGACGCTATGTGTAAGATAGCATTGGTGCCCAGTTCGTCATAATTCTGCTTTCCAGCTTGCCTCAGAAGCTGCAGGCTGTTCGAATACCCATAAGTGTTAAATACCCGGGCGAAACGTTCCGCTGAGGTTTTGAGCATCTTGCCGTGATGCTCGACATGGCCCCCGTACCCGCGTACACCTGTAACGTGCTTGACATGGCCCCCGTACCCGCGTACACCTGTAACGTGCTCGACATGGCCCCCGCACCCGCATACACCTATAACGTGCTCGACATGGCCCCCGTACCCGCGTACACCTGTAACGTGCTCGACATGGCCCCCGTACCCGCGTACACCTGTAACGTGCTCGCGGTCGATGTGAGGGCATGTCTCCTTGGGGTTACAACTATCCTGTTACCCGTTAGGGGCCGATTCCCTACGGTCTGCGTGTTTGGCGCAGGTCGTCTTAGTAGGCACTGCATGATAGGTGCAGCAATGGGGGTACCTCTGTTGCGGTTGGGCACGTGATTCCTGTCTCGTTTGTTCTCATGCATCGCCACAACGTTCATAATAAATGCCGCCTGGAGTTGGGGACGCTTGCTCTCCCTGAGCTAATGCGTCACCGGAGTGGCGTTGCGTAACAAAGTAAAAGCTGAGATTTTGGTATTTCTCCATGGCTGTTCGGACCGCACGTTGGCGTCTGACCTACCTGTTCGGACCGCACGTCGGCGTCTGACCTACCTGTTCGGACCGCACGTTGGCATCTGACGTACCTGTTCGGACCGCACGTCGGCTTGTGAGCTACCTGTTCGGATCGCACGTTGGCATCTGACGTACCTGTAAGCTATTTATGCTGGTGCGTTAGGGCCGCCATCTGACGTACCTGTAAGCTATTTATGCTGGTGCGCTAGGGCCGCCATCTGACGCACCTGTAAGCTATTTATGCTGGTGCACTAGGGCCGCCATCTGACCTACCTGTAAGTTATTTATGCTGGTGCGCTAGGGCCGCCATCTGACGCACCTGTAAGCTATTTATGCTGGTGCGCTAGGGCCGCCATCTGACCTACCTGTAAGCTATTTATGCTGGTGCGCTAGGGCCGCCATCTGACGCACCTGTAAGCTATTTATGCTGGTGCGTTAGGGCCGCCATATGTAATTTTGTGTACACGGCCAGGCCCAGGCATCTCCAAACACAGTCAGACAGCTGCAGTCCGACTGCAGCTGAAAACGGTCAGGCCCAGGCATCTCCAAACACAGCCAGACAGCTGCAGTCCGACTGTCAGGCCCAGACATCTCCAAACACAGTCAGACAGCTGCAGTCCGACTGCAGCTGTGGGCAGCCCGTGAAATGCAATCAGTCAGGGTTAAGACTTAAGTCAGAAATAAGATGAATAAATGCGTCTATCGCACAGTTCGCACCTACAATGCGCATACCGTGAAACACTTCCGATGGATAGACCTTTAAGAACAGCTGTTCCAAGTAGGTGCACGCAGTCCACAGCCGCACATCGATGCTGTCAGAATACTCTCCACTGGACCAAGTCTAGGGCTACGCCGTATCTTCTTCGGTCCCATCGGGCATTAACTGAAAATCGTATTGCATGACACGGCGCCAGAACTGAACGATCTGAATAAGCGACAATGCTTAGCATTAGGCCACATCTGCAAGTGTGTGTAAACGTGCATGTAATAATGTGAATATAATCGATTCGAATGGAATGCAGTGGTGCCGGGGTATTGTATACGAACACCTGAGACTACTCACGACACTTACCCAGGTGTGCCGGTGCCGCAAGAAGAGGACTTGTGCGACGGTCAAGAGCGGCTGCAGCAGAAGGTCGTCAACTGCACGCCCGATGGGACTGCCTCACGGCCCGCACTACAAGATGGTAACAGTTGACGACTTCTTATCTCCGGCCATCAACTTTCGCCGGAATGGGATCATCAGACAGCTTTTGGGGCACTGTCAACCGAGCTGACTGATATTCATGTTTTACGTGTGTTTTATGTGTGTATGGTTGGCTGCATTTTCAACCATCTTTAATTTATGCTATTTTTGATGGTTTTGTGGAGCCAGCTTATCAAATAAGGTTCAAATATCTCCAATTAACCTATTGTTGCTGTTTCCACTCGTGACACAGGCTAAGGAGATGCACCTTAGTTCGCCACTTTGAACCAGGTGAAGATGGGGCATTCAAACAAGAACCAGTCAATGATCGGCGTTTAAGAAATTCAACAATGCTCACTTCTACCCTTTGATATTCACCAGTGACTTCTAAGTCGGGATAACATGTCGAGGCAAACGAAGGCAAATAATCATATATACAGCTCTCCGGAGCACTGAATATCAGTTATGCCTCAGAGCGTGCGTGCAGCCGTGTTCGAATCGGATTCGGTTCAAACGCGTGACCTGAGACCGTCCTATGTCCAAAAGAGGGTGTCGTATGGGGCCGGGCATGATCTGTGATGTGCTCTGTCGCAATTTGTATTATCCTTTCGTTGGCTGCGCACAGATCTCGCTACGTGAGAATCGCCTCGCTTGCTCAAATCTGTTTTCTTTTAATATTTAAGCGTGATTTGCGGTTGCGCCGTGAGTGTAACGTTATGTTCTCCGAACGACCCTTCTACCTTTGAAAGGGAATGGTTGCGCTTCATCAAATGCCTTTCTTCTCTCCATGCGTGGCATGGTTTATGGACGGTGGATTATGGACTTGGCTTGACCCCAGAGAGATTACAGTTTTACCCGCACACCTGTTGGCTATCATTGGTGTCCTGATGGCGTGCTCGAGAGTAACGTGTACTGCCAATGAACAGCAAAACGGCATTCGGTGTTAAAATGAGTGCAAGGCTTCAGAAATAGCGTTATCACTGAACGGCCTGCCATTGCCTGGGATCGAGATTTTGCTAAATATTTGCAGCAGACCATCAGCTTTGCAAAATATAACGGTGCCTCCCCTTGCAATTTGTGCGTGGTGCCGACCTCAGGGCTGTCGTCTGGTGACGGCGTCTTCTGCCGACCTCAGGGCTGTCGTCTGGTGACGGCGTCTTCTGCCCTCACCCGATGGGGAGCGGCGTGTGTTGTCTTAAGGTATCGCTGATATGCATATGTGTATATATATATATATATATATATATATATATATATATATGCATATGATGAAATCCCACGTCTGCCTGCAGCAGATGGAAACCGCCGAGCTTCCAGCGTAACTGAGGCCACGTAACTGAGGCCACGTAACTGAGGCCACGTAACTGAGGCCACGTAACTGAGGCCACGTAACTGAGGCCACGTAACTGAGGCCACGTAACTGAGGCCACGTAACTGAGGCCACGTGACTGAGGCCACGTGACTGAGGCCACGTAACTGAGGCCACGTAACTGAGGCCACGTAACTGAGGCCACGTAACTGAGGCCACGTACTGAGGCCACGTAACTGAGGCCACGTAACTGAGGCCACGTAACTGAGGCCACGTAACTGAGGCCACGTAACTGAGGCCACGTAACTGAGGCCACGTAACTGAGGCCACGTAACTGAGGCCATGTAACTGAGGCCACGTAACTGAGGCCACGTGACTGAGGCCACGTAACTGAGGCCACGTAACTGAGGCCACGTAACTGAGGCCACGTAACTGAGGCCACGTAACTGAGGCCACGTAACTGAGGCCACGTAACTGAGGCCACGTAACTGAGGCCACGGTGGTTATATTTGTATACGACGACCGTATCTTTCCAGAGAACGAGACCAGTGACGTGGAGAAGATGGATGACCTGATACGATCACGATTGTGAGTATGCGGCCATCACCATTGCGCCTTAATGGCTAATGCTGTCAGTTGGCTACTTGGATGCACAGTTTCACCGCCAACTTGAAGTGTTTGACTTGAGTCGCCTAGCTAGGAGCCGCCTGTAGCTGCGACGCTTCTGGACGCCGTCCGAGACCGCGGCAGATGCCAAACTGTCTGGCGGTATAGTTGGACTAACGGTTACCTCGGGCTGTTGCCAGTCCTCCTAGCGGGTCAGCCAAAAATGAACTTTGTGAGCACAAAGCTTCTATTTGCCAGTATCATTCCCTCACCAACACCCACTTTACACAACAATGTTAACACATATGCACAATCAGCACCAGCAACAGTCTTGTGCTTTTTCGGAATGTTCTGATTCTTACGAGCATATTTGGCAACAGCCAACGCGCCTGTATATTGCTTTGAGACCGAAACAGTCACATACGCGTGGTATGGAACTAATGTGATAGTATGCAATGATCAACCAGTGAGAAAGTTGTGCGATATCGCACTAGGGAGGGCACTAGTGGTCTGAGACAATCAGAGAAGGCGGGCTCGCCTTGCGATCTCCGCAATTGCTCGATGCAAGGGTTTCCTGGCTAGACGTTGGGAGTGATTCGTTGAGGAAGTGTTAATCACATCACTGCTGGGGCCATCCCACGACAAACCAGCCCCAAAATATGAAGGGGGAAGATAAGTGACCAAAATATGTGGCAGTCAGCAGTAACGGACGATCGAGTGCCGCCAGGCGCCAGCCACGCCTACCGTTCTGCACTACGGGCATATGTTCGGCTTACTTCTAAGCCGACCGAATTCAACGGGCCAATTTTTGTGCTCAAACAGACCAGAATCCGTGCAGATCTGCATACTACCAAAGATGCAGCTTGGGTAGTGGACATTGGCGACGGTGGGTCAGACGGGACTTTTCTCGTCGTGGGACACCCGTTTACATACAAGGTTCATGTGTTTTGGAGTGCACGAGGCAGAGTCAGCAAGTTACTCCGCCTGTAAATGTCCTGAGCCAAAGATGGAAAGCACATGGTTTGCGAACGAGACGTCAGAAAAGACCAGCCCACAGATTCCACATGCCCCACAGCATTCCGACGCGGCACCGGGGCCAGCTGCAGAGGCCGAGCCTTCGGTGTGTGGTTATGGCCACGTTCGGCTGTTAAACGCAGCAGGCTGAGCTTTCCTTGCCCAAACGATCCGATCATCCGTGTCACGATCGATGTCGCTGGCTATCCTGACCTGATTCTGCCGTGTTTGATTGCATGCACGGCTGACCGCATCTGGATAGCCGTCCGTCACGACATGGCTTTCGGCCGCCTGAACGCTGGTCGACGCCGTCACTACGCTGACCTAACGTGTGCCGCAGGGTGAAGACAACCAGCTGGCGCGTGTTCACCAAGGACAGCGTCTGGGACACGGTTAACAAATCGCCGCAGCTCGGCCGGAGGGGCGCGCTGAACGTCGAGCTGCTGGCGGCCGTGCGCACCGGCGCTCAACACCTCAACCAGGCCAGTGGCGGCGCCAGCTACACGGCCCAGCACTTCCTCGACGGCCGGTACAAGCAGGTGCTGGGCGCCGGCGAAGTGTACGTGCTGCATTTCGCCAGCGAGGCGCGGCCGGGCCGCGTGGAAACGGTGCGACTGGTGCGCCGTGCCGGTCCGCTGCTCGTCGATGCGCGGCCCGGCTACGACCACGACCAGCTGGTGTACGTGGTCGTGCCTTACTACCGGCGGCCGGACGCGTTCGCCGAGTTCGCCGCCATGTTCGAGCAGCTCGTGGTGGCGCGCCACGAGAACCTGCGGCTGGTCGTCATGTTCTACTGGCGCGGCCAGCCGGCGGCACCACGTGAGCAGCTGGCTCGCGAGCGGCGCCGCGTGGCCGACACGCTGCACCGACTGAACAAGCGCGCCCGCCGTCCGGTGGCGCGTCTGGTAGACCAGGAGGCCGAGTTCTCGCGCGGCCACGCCCTGCTGGAAGGCGCACGCTCCTGGCAGGGTGACGACGACGTGCTGCTCTTCTTCTGCGACGTCGACATGTTCTTCGACACGCAGGCACTGCACCGGTGCCGCGCCAACACCGCCCCTGGCCGGCGCGTCTACTACCCGGTGGTGTTCAGCACATTCAGTCCGGAGCTCTACTTCCGCGCCTGGCGCAAGAAGCCAGCCTCGCTCTGGCAGATGCACCCAATAAGTGGCGACGTGGGCTTTTGGCGCGACTTCGGCTTCGGCATGACGTGTCAGTACAAGTCGGACTTTGACCGTGTGGCTGGCGAGTTCTTGGTGTCGCGAAGCTGGGGTGGCGAGGACAGTAAGCTGTACAGGAAATACCAACAATCCACGCTGGAGATTGTTCGCGCGCCCGACCCAGGTCTCGTGCATATCTACCACCGCAAGCAGTGCGACCGCCGTCTGCTGGGCAAGAAGTACCACTCGTGCATGAGCTCCCTGAGGCACAGTGAGGCGTCGATGAAGACCTGGGCCCGCTTCGTGCAGCAGCTGAAGGCGGTGGCGGACGATTCGACGGCCGTGCACGACATGCTGGCGCTGGCGCTGCCGTCGGACGGCGACAAGGGCGATGACGAAATGTACACGGACGCGACCACGATCGAGGCGAGCGTCATCTCGCCGCCGACGCATCGGTAACGTCCGGCCGAGGCGGCTGAGAGTGCAGCCGCACTGCAGGACTGGTGCCGCGAACTGCGGTCACGGCCACAGAAATGCCGGCCATTAAATTAAAAGATAAATGTTATCATCGTTATATATATACATATATACATATATAACAACTACGGGAACCTATCTTATTAGGCGCAGCTATATAAAGTTAGGCGTTCTACGCATGCACATACCTAGAGCTCATACATTTTCTGCAGATCGTGTTATATCCTGCGAGTGTTTCGGAAAACAGGCAAAATAAATAAAGTTGGCTGCTATATACCATCAAAACCGAGCATGAACTTGATGCCTAGCTTATTTACGGCTAGTCGGCTGGGCGATGTAATCAGCTGATGGGTGATGACTAATGCAGAATTTTTCCCTTGGTATAAAGTAGTACAAATATCCTAGCATTCAAAATATGTTAAGAAGGCGATGCATAAGTACGATGTTGAGTGTCACACACTCAGTTGGCAAGGGAAATGACATTCCATTTTGGCGGCACGTGAAATTACGTTTGACAACTGTGCGTAAAAATTCATCGGCGCGTATTCGACTGCTGCTCTGAGGCTAAATAGGTACCGAGGTCAATAGGAACGTAACCTGAGCGATTGCGGGAGCAGGAGGCCATCACAGTAACTCCATCACAGTTAACAGCAGTAACTGATGCTGTGACCTTTGGCTCCCGGATACAACCCTTACTGCGGGAAAACGAAATTCCCCATTCGAAAGGTGAAGCGATCAGGTCATCTGTGTACTCCTCCCTGGCATTTGATCGCTCCCTTCACAAACACACCTCTGACTGAAATGAAAAAGAATGTCTCGCTGCCAGATGTCATGAGGTCCAGAGCGCTTGAGCGTTTAGCGTTATATCAGGGCTACACACATACTTACACGGACGGCTCTAAAACTTCCGGTGGTGTAGGCTGTGCGTTTGTGAGCGGTGGCGTCACCCGGTCGTTTTCATTGCCCCCAAACGCTTCGGTGCTCACATCGGTGCTCATAGTAATCACTAAGGCACTATGTTTCATTGACGTCGGTGACGAACCTTTACATGTCATTTTGACTGACTCTCTGAGCAGTGTTCTGAGCTTGAAGTCTTTTTATCCATCATGTCCCCTTATACAGGACATTTTAATACGTTTGACTCAACTGGATCAGGCCGGAAAGAAAGTAATGCTATGTTGGGTTCCCAGCCACGTTGGAATTGCGGGCAACGAGTTAGCTGACGCGGCTGCCAGGCAAGCAGCGCTGGCTCCATGTGTTCGCTCTCTTTCTATTCCTGCCAGAGACTTTTATCCTGCAATAAAAACATTCCTGCAAAACAAGTGGCAGCGTTGCTGGGATCGGATGGATGGTAACAAGCTTACAGAGATAAAACCTAGGCTGGGTCAGTGGTTCTCTTGTTTCCGCAAAATGCGGAGAGAAGAAGCGATCCTCTGCAGATTACGCACGGACACACGTATGCAAACCGCGGCTATATGTTGGAGAGAGCCGATAAACCTACCTGTCATCGATGTGGTGCTGTCCTTACCGTTCGCCATATCCGTATATCTTGTCCGCGCCTCGCGGAAGAACGCCAACGTTACTTTGGACAGCATGACTTGCCTGTTACCCTCTGTGATATGCTAGGAGATAACTCACCATTTCTGGAATCTCAACAGATCTTTTTGTTTCTCAAACGCCCCAACTTAAGGACCATTTATGCGGCTCAGTAGAGAGGTAGAACAAAGCTCGTTATCTGCGCCAAATGACCACCGCAGTCGGCGCGTCCGTAAATTCCAATCAACAAAAAAAACTCGACCTGGCCTTTATATCCAGCCTCACGGAATTATTCGCAACACTAAATTCAGATATCTAATTGTCTAAGAAACCGTTTAAATATATATTTCTTCGTTTAGGCCCCCGCTGCCGGATCAGATTGAACGATTCCCTAGGAGATGCTTTCGCTGACAGCCATAGCCTGTTTTTGACCTGCCATAGGTCAGTGACCTGACACGGTGCCTCTAACTTTGTGTACTAAAAGATCGGCTTTTAAGTTGGATACAGCCACCCAGAGTGTGGTGCCGCTGCGCCGTTCGGAGGCTGGTTTGGAAAACCTTCGGGGCAGTTAAACTGACACCACCCGAGCGCCTTTCTACAAACGCATTACAGCTTGAGCACGTTGAACGCAGTGTAACCATGGGAAGGATGGAGTTTTGAAAATGGCCACAAGTGTTTAACGTAGTGTACGGACTGCTCGTTCAGATATTCAACAGTGAACAAAGGGTAATCTGAAACATGTACAGCGTCGTGTGAACAAAGCAAGGCCTCAACCGAATCGTTGTGACATTGCGCATCGCTTAAGCCATGCGGGGACTCACGAAATTGAAAAAAATGATGCATATTTATGTATATATATATATATATATATATATATATATATAACCCTAGCATAATAATTAACAGATGGCATTCCAGATTTGGGTGTTGACTTGCATTCAATTTCACACACACCGCACAATCGGGCGTCAGATGATTCTTTCAACAAAAGGATACGCGGTTCGTTGAAGGTACTAGCATCCTGGTCATCGAAAATAACCTTTATTTAAGCATTCATTTTACATGGTGGTTGCGTTCATAGGGTCCATGACGTCCGCAGTGTCAAAACCAGCCACAGTGGGACCTCCAAACAAAGGAGAAGCACCCGCGTGTGCTGGGCCCCAGAACGATCGAGGATGGTTCGGCAAGTTCAAATATATGGCCCCAGAAGAAGAACAGGGCCCCATGCAATGGAGGATGGCCTGACAGGTTCAAGTTTAGGGCCCCCAGCAGGAGAGCAGGGCCCCACGCGATCGGGGATGGCCCGACAGGTTGTAAGATATGGCCCCTAGCAGAAGCGCAGGGCCCATGCGCAAACAGGAGGAACCCGACACCGGTTTGGATGGCCCCTGTGTAATCAAGCGGCCTGCATATGAACATAAACACCCTGACAACAGTGTCGGGTCCTCCGACCCCACACCAGTGGCTACGGTCCCTGAGACGGCCCCTGACCCATCGAGAGCGTCTATTGAGGTTAACACATGGTGTCTCTGACGGGTGCGTAGGGTCCTCTGCAATTCTGAACCAATGAGAAGAGCCCTATATCAATTAATAGAAGCCCGTGAGTATCTCGAGAACACTGGCAGTTTAGCTGATAGGGTTCAGACAACAGCACATAATTTTCCGAGCAGACGTGATGAATTCAACACGAGCACTACGGGCCTCAGGATTCTCACAGGTTCTCCTGTACGTTAACAGGGGCTTTTAGCGGCAACACAGGATCCTCCGAGCAAGTGGGAGAAGCTCAAAGCCAGTGTGAAAACCCATGGGTTATAGATAGCGCATACCTTCGGCAGTTTGATGTACGGACTCCCGACGGCACCGTTCAGTCCTCGGCCTCCAGAGACAATGCCAGGATGCCGCGGAAGTCCGAGAACGGCCGCGGTCGGGCGTTCCTGCAGGTTGGCATGTAGGGGCTCCAACAGCAGCGGGGGCTCCGAGCAATGGAAAAACGAAAGAGCAACGGGGAAGGCCTCTGTACAATCTGAAGTACCCGATAGGTCAACGGGCAGGGTTGCTAGCAAGAGGGCAGGGCGCGGTGGCAGACAGGAGCAGACAGGCTGAGCTCAGGACCGATGCGGAGGGTCCCCAGACGGTCGCAGTTGCGCCGGCAGGCTGACGTATGGGGTCCTCGACAGCAGCGTATTGGGCCCTCCCTCCAAGCAGATCGGAAGGATCCGCGACAGATGCGGAAGGCCCACGGGCGATCGAGAGTACATGGGAAGCCAAAATAGAGGCAGCCGTTAGCAGCCCAGTGCCCTGCACAGCGCAGCATGTTATCTAGCGTGTCCGCCTGCTGCCCTCACAATCAGCCAAGAGCTCGTTTAGCCTGCTTGTGTACCCTTAATGTTCACTGGCTTGTGGCCCTTCTTGGCCGCCTAGGGGCTTCCCTTTTTCTTTCCTTTTTTGTGTTACAAACCTACATTTACTCGCTAACTCCTCCATTTGGGGCAGGGAGGTATCTCCTCGCTTGTACCCCCTCCTCGGATTCTTCCCGTGTTCACCTTCGGAACAAGAAGAGTGATTGATGACGTCAGAACATTTGCTCAAGTCAATACGACAGAATAATTGTTTTAGCCGTCCCCCACAGAGAGCGTGAGTTCCGTGATGCCAAGCAGAGCTGTCGTTGAGATCCCTGTTTATATGATGGAGGAGTCGGATGGATTTCAGGAAGTGTTAAAACTGACGCTGCATCAGTTTCTTAGCCACCTTAGAGATGGTAGGAAGGGTGGAAAATGAACGAAAACAGAAAGCAAAGTTAGGATTACCAGATAAAAAAATAGGATGTACCAGGCACCAGCACATGCTTCTATAACCTGGGGATGCTTCAGCAAATGGCAAACGCCTTGGCAATGTGTAAAAGTATTTGAATGACGAAAAAGGACAGCTTGAATAATCCGATACACAGGAGATTATAGTCGCATCCCGATGAAAAACACATGTTAACAGTATTTACAGCAGCCTCTGGTGCATTACCAAACGCAGCCACCTCACAAGTTACACATGGTCTGACATTGACAAAGAACTCGTTGATGACGTCAGGGAACGCGGTAGGTTCTTCGCCTCGGCTACGCAGTCGGCTATGGATAGTGTTTTGCATGTGCTTCTGTGCTGAGCACGAGCCGTCTGTACCGATCTTATCCGCTGGATCACGTCTGGAGTCTGAACGGATAGGCGACCCGACTGCGCCGTTAGCGGAAGCACCGGACCGCGCCATGTCAACCCGCAGCAGCTCTGCCCCCGGACGGCCGGCCCGATTGCGCGGCTAGCGGAAGCACCGGACCGCGCCATGTCAACCCGCAGCAGCTCTGCCCCTGGACGGCCGGCCCGATTGCGCCGTTAGCGGAAGCATCGGACCACGCCATGTCAACCCGCAGCAGCTCTGCCCTTTAGATCACGGGGCAGTCTATAGGTGGCACCGACTGGTAGCGAAGCTTACTAAATGTGTAGGGAAGACCGTCCAGAACGTTCAGAAATGTAGCGTAAAATACTCCACACGTCGCAGATGCATTTATGGACAAGCATTTCGTTCTAATCATGAGAATGCCGGTGACGACAGTATGCGCCCAGGTCAGAATGTTTCAACAACTGGGTAAGCACACCGGCCAGCCTGATGCCAGGCTGGGATAAATCACTGGACGGCGGAATGAATATGTACGAGCTCAAATGGCCTTGACGCAGCACGATGGCTTGATTCACGATCAAAACGTCTAAAACAGAACCGGATGAACACGCTGACAGATAAGTAACTAGCTCAGTCAGGGAG